CCCTGTGCATGAGCTTGTAAGCGCCTCAGGCTTCAAGGCCAAAGTGGAAATACCAAACAAAAGCCCAGAGCCAAAAAAGCTCATGGCATTAAGTGGTAGATGATACGATTTTTAAACTGAGCAAACACAGCAACAATTTTCAGAGACTGACAGAGATAGTAGTTTTTAAAAACGGGCTAAACCATCTTCTTAAAGTTGGCACACACAAACAAACAGCAAAGGACACAACCTCAGCGCTGTTACATGCCATCCATGCTTTGTAGGAATGATGCAAAACCCTTGTTTACCACTAACCACCATACCTATCGTAAAGGCTTTTCCCTTTGTGATCTTACACAGTCTACCTTCCCTGAATATAGTTTAACAAGCTGTGTTTTTATATGAAGCATTTTCCACATAGTGTGTTTGCATTCTCCTGCCTATTTCAGTAGAAGCATGGTCCCTGTAGAGATACTTGTCAAAACCTATTCAAAACATGATTATATGAAAAAAAACCCACAAAACAAACAAAAACCCAAAGCAAAAAATTACCTAGTCAGCTGTGATAACACCATATGTTTCTTTCTAGTTGTGTCTCAGTCCAAAACAGAGTAGCTTACCCATGGGAGACAGAGAGGAGGCTTCAGCATCTTCAGTTTATTCAGTACTTAAGTCTCTCAGTCAACAACAGAGCCAGCCAGGGCCATCTGCAGCAGTGGGTTTTCTGAAGCAATTGTACAAAGAGCAAATGCCTTCCCTGGGCCAGCCAGTTGCCACCTGAGCTTGGTGGATGCCCCTGCAGGTGGCCAGGTCATTTACTTTTCACCAGCCATTTTATTATCTGTTCAGTCCTTGACCTCTCGTGTCTGACAGAAACACAGTTCATTCCCACTCTCTCCCCACAAGCATGTTCTTGGGCAATCAGGAGTCTGGTTAGAAGCAGTTTTCTTCTCCCATCTCTTCTGAGCTTCAGTTTCAGTGCACTTCTCACCTAAGGTGGAAGCAATACACACCAAATGCTCACCAGCACAAACAGAAATTACAGATACAAGGACTGCGTACACTGAGCCAGAAAAGGATTACGGCAACCAACTGAAACCACACCATTGTGGAACACATTTTGGCAGCTGAGAGGGTGCATTTCTGCTGGCCTGCATAAGCCTTAAAAGTCATGCCTGCATCCCAAATGTTTACCTGCATTTATCAGGTGAAGCCATTTTTGAGCTATTCCTTTTCCTCCTTCATAAAGTGATAGCTTTTCTGCTGGTCAGTGAAATTCCCAACTGGTCCAGGAGAAGTTAGAAAGAAAGATGGGAATGCTAGAAACTACAGCTTTATCTTCAATTTCCCACCCTTAGGCAATGTGGAAGGGGCCTGAACAGACTGCATTTATATTTCTCAGCCCCACCTGTCCTACCTCACCTCTCCTCCAAACCACAGCCCCACTAGCATTTGGTTTTGTATGATACGTCAGGTCAGACTAAGGAAGTATCTAAGTTGCAAACGGGAGAGGAACTGAAAGGCTACTTAGGAGCTACTCTTCAGCAATTCAGATATAAGCCATCTCACTGCAGCACTAGCAATATAAATCAAGTTTACACCCACATTATTAGGATTGTGCAAAGGCAAACGCTCAGATACAGTTCAGATAAACTCCTGCCACAGAAGACATTTGGCTATCACATGCAGGGGTACAGAACTAAAAATTTGCTGGGCAAGGCAGGGATTCCTGAGCTGTTTCAGTTCAATGGCTTTGAAAGGAAATCTGTGTGACACACTTTCTTATTTTGCCCTTCCCTTCCTGCCTTGTTACAACTTTCCCCACATCCTACAGTTCTACCTTATGTTGTGCCTGCCAGGTGTCGAAGCAGATAAATTCCTCTTATCACATTACCACTCCAAGCCCTGCAGCACAGCTGCAGCCAGCACTAAGAAGTTGGGGAACATCTGAGCAAAACCAGGGAGCTGCGTGCAAACCAAAGCATATGTGACAGCTGAAGACAATCAAGCTGTTGAATTTCCTCTTTTAGTTGTTTCAAGCTGTTTGCTTCCCTCATCCTTTCTACTGTTTTCCTAATTTCAGCACCAAAATCTCCTTTACTGGTTCCAATTTGACTGAATATTGCTGGGAACTTTGTTCTTTTCCAAGAGCAGCACAGGAAGGCAGCTCCCACCTCACCATTCTCCTGGCTACTGTGAACAAAAAGCAAACTGTCAGTGAGAACCTGTAGTGTCAGAGTTACCAGAGAAGGCACTGCGGTCCTTTAGAAAAGAGATATACAAAAAAAGGTCACCTCTGTCACTGTAGGCCTGCAGCAGAACACCTGCATCCCTCTACTATCAAAAGGAGACGCTATCTGAACTGCATTTGGAGTCGTACCCTGTGAGTTTGATGTGTAGATGATACTTAGCTTATGCTTGTACCCCTGAGAGCAGCAGGGGCTTCTCCACCTTCAGTCAGTGCTGACTGAGTCACATTTGCCATCTGTCACTCCTGCCACTCCATACATTGACTTTGCCACTCTGCAAGAGAAAGGAGCTACAACTCTTGCTCTTTTACAGATTAAGGAGAGCTTACATGACCAGGCAGAAGCTTCATATGTTCTACCTGTACCCAAGGGATCACCTAATACAGATGTATCAATGTCCCTGTCCAGGGCTGGAAGAGGGCATGTGGCTTGAAAACCAGCTATGATGCTTAATTCTCTACCCTGACTCTTATCTTGCAGAATTCTCATCTGCATCACTTGTGGGCAAACAAAGCCCTATACTTGGTTTCCCCAGTGACCAGGATACACACAGAAGATTGCAAGGCCTGGGGGAAAAAAAACCACCCAAAAACCAAACCCCAAAATCCCCAAAACACCTCACTTCCATCACTCGAGTCCCTCGAGATAAGAAAAAAAAAATTCATTTCTGCTTTACATGCTTTCTACAGATGGAACACAGCCAAACCAGGAAGTTAAGTTTGTAAGCCCTCAGGCAGAAAAGAGGCTGGACACAGCTGTTGCAGATTCACATTGCTAGAAAGGAAGAGTAGAGCAAGGAGTGTCCAGCCCCAGGGCTGCCCATTTCCACAGCAGCAGGCTGACTACATGCCTGGTATTTGTGAGGTGTGTGCATTTATAAATGGAGACTCACTATATTATTCCAGAGCATGAAGCGAAACACCTTCATACTGCTTCTACAACAAACACACATAAGAGATGCCAAACACAGCACTGCTGCCAACTCCTTCCTGTAATTTGTCAATCATGTGGTTTCAAATAACATACCCACCCCCTCCCCAAAAAAACATTTAAGTACAGTTGTTTTGTGATACAGCAGGTCCCTTACCAGCTCCCTTGGGAAATTTCATGGCAAATGTAGCACAAATAACACCTTGACGATGTCTGTTCTCTTCAGGGAGGGAAGGAGAAAGTGCAAAGTGGGTTTTTTTAATGCATATTGCATACAGCTTTGAATAAAGACAACTTCTCAACCTCCCATAGTTTAATGATTGCCAGAGGGAGATTCCACATCTTCTGAAAGGTCAGTATGTTCATACCCAAAATGTTCTACCAAACAGGAGTACATTCAGCTGCTCCTTCTGTAATGAGTGTTCTTCAAACAAAGTGTTTGAACAACTAATTTTCTTTACTTTTTCAAGCATGGTTCAAGGGCTTTGGTAGCAATACTCATCAGGATTTAGTTTCTAAGAGGACCCATGTTCTTTCTTGGTCAAAGGGAAAGTTTGTGTTGGTGCAGAGCTGCCAAGACACTCATCAGTGTTCTCCTTCCCAACCATGATACTTTCTCATGAAGTCCCAAAGCAGTAAAATAATTTCAATTAAAAAAAAAAAAAAAGTTATAAAAGACTTAGAAGTCTTAGTGAAAAGTCATCAGTGCTTTAGGGGGAAGGAAGGGGAAGAAAACATTTGGCTCCCAGTTATAAATAATTTAAAGACAACCCAACAATCTCTGTACACACATAAAACCAGAAAAAACTCATATTCCACAGATGTTGAGAGACTCAGCGACCTCTTGGGGGCACAGGTGGAGGATAAAAGCCTTCACTGCTTACAGGCCTATAAAAAGACAGAATACAAATGCATTAAAAAAAAAAAAATATTAGAGAATAGGGTTCTGGAACAGCACGTTGCACACAATAACATCATAACTAAGAACACACTACAAGCAATAGTTAATACAAGAAGAAAAACAGGCTATCAGTGATTCTGCAACAGAGCAGATGCTAATGTGCCAGAGCCCCATTCCTGGCCAAGTTATTTCTTCTGCTCTTCAGCTGCAGTAATTCTACTGTTACTGGAAAGAGATGCTATAATACTTGGGTGGAGTAAAACTTTGATAATATAATAGCTTTCTCCTGAAAATTAGATGAAAAGCAATAGGAAAAGATCAAAAGATCAAAATTATTTTTTTTTCCCCCCAAACTAACTAGAGAGAAATTCCAGCTATATTCTTGCCAGAGCCCCAAGCCAAAATTCAGAACTTACGGCACACACACATTACTAATTACTATTTTAACAGTTGGAGAATTTTATTAGGATCTGTACTTAGATAAACCTCTGGGGCCTGGACTTCATAGACTTGCACTGGTTGGACTAAAGGAATGTTTGTAAGTCACTTAAGTTTGTGGTGGTCAAATCAAGGCAAAACCCCTCAACACCTTTTACAAGACCAGTGCAGTTCTTACTTTGAGGCCAGTCATACATGTAAACAAGCATGCTTTGGAGAGATTTTGTAAAAACGAAGTAAAAAAAGCCGAAAGGGAATTCCCTGTACTATCCAGTCTGTATGTTCCAAGAGGATCATCTCAGGAGGATTAGGACTAAATCTCTGCCAGGGTCAGGATGGTACTCCACCTTGGTCAGTCTTCCTGTGGCAAGCATTGTGTGCTTCAATACTGCTGCCTTTACAGCATGTGAACCACAGTAACAGCACTGCAATAGGCGTGTTACTAACCAGAAAACCGATTCCAGCAAGGACTACAGATGAGGAACAAGGATTTTACGATATCTAACAGCATGCATTTATAGATAATAGACTGGTAAATTTTGTTCAAAGACACATTTGCTTCCTGCCTTGCTTTCTGCCCAAGGCTTCTGTATTGATGCACTGAACACTCATGTCTGAGCTGCATTTTAGCTTTACCTGCTTGCACCTCGAGGAGGCACTCTGGGAGGCCTTTCTGGGAAAGGCAGCCTCTCTCTCTGGCGGGTAACTGGGCTGCGGCTTCTAGTTGTATCTGCAACTTCATTGTCCTACAAAATGAAAAAAGAAGTTACAGGCCAGCAAAATTTGGTCCTCATTACCTTCACAACAGAAGTGGCTACATTTGCCGTTTCTGCAAATGCAGTGCCATCTCTGAGCTCCTTTTCGTTTGTATGAAAACAAAGCCATGTACTTAAGAACAGTGGATCAGTATATAGCGGAGGTGAGAACTTACCTCATTGTCCCCTTCCATCCCACTGCTGACACTCAATATGCTCCGAGTGCTGGAGCGGTTACTTGCACTACCTGGAGTAAACGAGGTAAAACAAACTGATTATTAAATCTTGATTTAACTACAAATCACTAACTCAGGACTCCTTCTAATCTCTTGCACACATCATTTAATGCTTGGTTAGATTAATTTATTTCCACTGCTGTTTTTCACATGTTCATGATCCAAACAATGGCATTTCACACAATGCTGACCACAGGGCCAAACCATTCAGTTTTGCTTTCTTTCTAGCCAGTTTCTGCTCTATCTAGGTCCAGGCTTCTGGTTAAATACTCTCAATATAACTGAAAGGATACAGTGCCAATATCAGCTGGCAAGTCAGGTAAATGTTTTCACAAGTGTTACACATGCAACATTTACATATACTTAAATTATTGGTCCCCATGTGTTTAACAACTGCATGGAGGTAGACGGCACATTCATTCTCGCAGTGACTGCTCAAGATGTTATTGTTCCCAATTAGCTGTTCACCACCTCCTCTCACAACCACCTTTACTCACCACAGGAACGTTTCCTAGTCTACTTCAGAGCTAAAAATGACAAGTTTGTTCAAACAGCCTGCAGCAACCATTTATGCAAACTCATTTAACTTGCAGGGACTCAGACTATGGAATGTTTTTGCAATCAGACATGCCATCTCTGAAGGGGACAGTGACACACAAACATGTCTTACACTGCTGTGGCTGGTTTCAGTCATAAATACATGATGTTCTGTAGGGCTGTTCAATACGAGGACATTAATGTTCAGAAACCTATACATTGAAATGGAGGCTAGAGAGGTTTTCTCATAAGATGCACCTCCTCCCTAACTTTGAGGAATGAGGCAACTCTCATTATCAGTTGGTTCAAACAGCAGGGCTTAGAGTGCTTAGTATTGTGTTAGGGCCCATTCCCACAATCATGCCATGGGAAAGAGAGCCAAGCTGCACACAGTGAACTCCTCAGACTCATTAACATTTCTCCCAACTGCTTATATGCAAGCTACTGGCTCTGTCAACTGCCTCTGGCACCTACTTTGGATGTGTGCCAGCTCTATCTTGCCAAGAGCCACAAAGGTAGTAACCTCACTGGGACTCAATTTTCCTTTCAGAGGACCAAAACGATCTTAATGATTTCTGCAAGAATTGTTCAGTCTGCACTAACAGCAAGAATGCAGGGATTTAATCTGTGCAAATTTAACCTAATAAAAAACAAAGCTAATAAAAATGTGCACACTGTTTAAGTTACTCAAGAGGTCCCACAGTTACCAATGAAAAATGCTGTCCTTTATTTACAACAGTTGAGAAAACTACAGTAGATATGGGTTCCCAGCCTGCAATATAACTATGCCCTTCAAACCAGAAGAGCACACTGCCTGCCGAGAGTCATGGCAAGGTATCATTCTTTTTTCCTAAGACAACAGCTGCCATATACTTTTAAGAACTGAAGACAGGTAATTTGCTTTCCCTGAGAAGGCTCAAGGGAATTTTTCACTCAGCTTTCAGGTTCTCCTGCAGAGATGCAGGTGTGAGATGCTCAAACCCCTTGATGTACCTGGAGGTGCTTTTACAGTTTTGAGAACAGCCAGCCTAATGCATCCAGGGTTTGGGGTGGAGGGTCAGCACTGGGATTCAGGAACAGAAGTCCTGTCCCCTGAGCTGACTCCAAAGTTAGGATGTGGAAGTGTTTTCCATCCAGCGTTCCTGTAGAAAGAGTGACACTCAGGGTTTGCTTACTTGTGCTGGATGTGCTTTCTGTTTTCCAGTCTCCTCGCTTTAACTCATTTTTTGGTGGGAAAACGTTTTTCCTGGGTGTGTATTCATATATTCCACATTCTGGTTTCCCCAAAATATTATGAGAATGTCGAAGGGGTACTGTAATTTCCAAATCTGGAATGGAAATTGAACAGCTCAGAAGGGTTCTAGGCAAGTATAGTCTCTGAGAGACAGTTTTGCACCTGAGAACAAAGTTAAACACGATCATATAAAGGCAGTCATAACTGTACATTGAATGGATCAAGATTTATTCCACAGATGTGGGCATGCTTTCCTTGGTCTGGAAAATGAAGGAGTAAAGTGCTATGTTTTAGCCAACAGGCACATGGATGTGAATATTAAAATATGACATAACTACAATACACGGAGACACTTCTGCCTGAAGAGCCTACTAATATTGTCAGCTGCTTCATTACCAGAAAATGTGAGAATCAGGGACTGTTACCTGCAGCTTTGTCTTTTTTTTGCTTCTCCATTTGCCTCCTGGTTATGCTGTCCCGCAGCCGTTTCAGGTTTTCCTAGGAACATCACAAGATATTCTTTTCAGGGCTTTGGATAAAGGAGGATGAGCAGCTTTCTGAAAAGTTAGCCAAAATCATATTTCAGCTGTCTTTTCAACCAAGCTGTAACAAAGCCTGCTAGACCTGGCTGAAGTCCAAACCATGTCAACAGGTTTTAATTTATTCCCTTCAGAAATCCACATGTGCCTTTCAGAAGCCAAGTTTTTTGCAGTGTTCATTGTGTGTGTTTAGGTCAAGTTCACAGACTCACTGGAAGCTGCAGATAAGCAGCATATGTAGTTTAGAACTTCCTCTATTTTCTATTTCCACTGTGACACTAGTACAGAAACAAGACCCACAATCAAGCACAGTCCTTTCTGTACTAATGAACAGATAATTCTGACTGCAGGGTTCCAGAGGAGACTGCCATGCATCCCAGAGAATAAGGAACAATTCAGAATGTCCCACCTGAAGCAGGAGAGGACACCTGGAAATGTAACTGGGAGCAAAGCCTCTTCACCATTGTATGGCAGCATACTGGCAAGATCTGGAGCTTTTGAAAGCTGCTCATGGGATGGGGCACAGAGCATGCCACTTCATCTCTGCTACAGTCATTCACTGAAGTAGCACTGCATTCTTTATTGACAGAAGAAGGGATTTCTCTACTGTTTCTGGGTAGAGAGGACCCTTCCAAGTAAGAATCAGAAGTCTTTGCTCTGACAGCTCCCAAAACAGTGTCACACACTGGAGACCAGCACCTCAAGTGTGAGAGCAGACTGCTGCAGCATGAACAAAAAGCTTCAAACAAAGCAGGCTGTGGTTTTAAAGAGGGAGTCTCACTGCAATCGAGAATGGAAATTTTAAACTATGACTGCTAGTTCCACCAGTCATTTTGTTGCTGCTGCCAACATGATTCCCTCATTCAGCTAAGCCACCCAAACACTGTGCTTTCACTCATGACTGTTGCTAGGCCTTGCACAGATGCAAAGAACAGATAGTCATGGAGCCATCAAACAACCAGGGAGAGATCAAACCATCTACAGTATAGGAGTTTAAAGCCAATACACCATCTGGGACACTGAGTCTTCACTGATCTGAAATGGATGAGAACTGACAAGCTAAATGTGCATCATGGAAGTCCCCCACCAGTAGGCAGGTGCTAGGTGACCTCTATAAAGGTAACTTAGCCAACTGGATTTGGCCTAGTTCATAATGCACAGATCTTCAAAACCTCAGAATAGTACTGCAACACAATCAAGTCTGTAAAACAGCTGCCTGTTTACTGCTGCATGAGAACAACCCCTCCATGTCCATGAAGCTGGGGGACTATGTTAGCAGTCTTCCTGCTCCAACCAGGAAAGAAATGTAACCAGGCTGAACAGCTTGTGAGGTATATTGAGAGAGACACATGCATTTCCTAAATAGTAGAGTTAGGCTGTACCTGCTGAAACCGGAATGATTCTGATCTTTTTTTCTGGTTCAGTTGCCACTCCTTAAAATGAAGTACAGCTTCATCAACGGTGAGTATGCCCATTTTCACTTGCTCTTGTAATGTTATCAGCTGCCGTTGACCTGGGGTTTTCATTCCAGCAAATGGATCATATATGCTTGATTGAGATGGGTCCCTTACAGGCCTGACTATTGTCTCTAAAGAGAGAACACCACCAAAAACATTACTCAACTCGTGGCATCTGCCCTCCTCACTGAATACAAAGAAAATCAAGCACCCTGGTACAGCAGAGATTTAAAAAAACAAGCAAACAAATGAACAAAAAGCCACTACAAATTGAATGACTCCCTAACCAGAAAGTATTTTGTCCTTATGCCATCTTGCTATTTGCCCTGCTGAAAGGTAGCCCTGTATGCAAATGTGTCCCAGGGATAATCTCTGCTCTTACAAACATAATTGAAGTGAACAGCACAAAATGTACTCCTTAAAATGCTCTGCTTCCTCACTGCAAAAATCTCTCTCTCTTTAGCAATCCACAAAACAGAGCTTTCACCTTGGTATTCACCAAGCTAGACTCTTCTTAGGTAATCTGTGCAGCAAAACTGCAGAAACAGAGAGGTGAAAACTCATCCTACTCTTTGTAACTCATTTGCAACATGAAGAGGAGTTCCTAAAACATTAGATAAAAGCTGAGATGTAGTCCCAAGCACCCTGATGGTGCACAGGATAAGAGGTGAAAGATTAAGCGCACAGTTTTTGAAGTGCAGAGATGAGTGGCAAGCAGTTCACTAAAGGTTAAATCCCAGGAAATAATGATCAACAGGCAGTGGATATATGCAGAAGATCAAAAGTGGGACATTGACACCATGAAGTAATGTGGGTCACAACATAGAGGACTTCAGTGATCATTATCACAGAGGATAAATTCCAAGACAGGGGTATGCACAGGATGTGATAAAGGGGTACATTTAACTCTGCAGTTATAAAATGTTTTCAGTATCACATAAGGTCAGAAAGCTTGGGTCCTTCATATACGACTATTATCCCCAGAACCTTGTAAAAAAGACTGTTCTGTCACATTTCATACAAGTGAAGTTACCTCAGCAGATTTGCATTAGGATTACTGGAAAGATTTTCAGGGTGAACTTCTGACTTACCTTTCTTAACCCTTCCTCTAGGGACGTAGAGATTCTCAGGTCTTTTTGCTTTCTGTGCAAAAACTGTAAACCAAACAGTCTTTAAATACTGAAACACATCTCATGAAGACAGAAATAGCAAGGACAAATATGGGAAGCATACACAGTTCTGCACTGCATTACAGCTTCTGCTACCCTACTAAGTCCATTGAAGAAAACAAGATAAGGAGTTGTACAGTAGATCTCGTCTTCTATTGACCTCAAAGAATTTAGCTCGGCCAACTCTAAGAGAAATCTGTATAGCATAATATTCCCCCACAGTCCCGTCATGGGGGCAAGGAGGAGTCACTGAAATTCCTCTCCCACACATTATTGTGGTTCTTGCTAGAATGTTTGTGAAATATGACCAAGATACTGCCTAGTAAACTAAGAGGCAGAATTTTCTTCAACTTCAGTTAAACCCCACTCCAAAGGGAGGTACTGAGGTATAGAATCAGGTCCTATACAAATGCTACTGAATCAATGGTAGCATTATAGAACAGTAACATCTTAATTTATTAGCTTGATTGTCTCCTTATAATATCAGAACCTTTCCTATTTCGTTGGATTTATTTATACCACTTAGGGGTAATCTGTCACCCTACTGCTTTCATTAAGAGCAAGCTCAGGCCAAGATCTCAGAATACAACATCCCCACATTTTCAGATGAGGCAGATGAAAACATCTGAAATTGGATCCCAAAGGTAATCCAGATCCAGAGCCAAATAATCCAGAGGTCTAAAAAAACTGTAGATTAACTTGGGGTTTATTTGGCAACTTGAACCCATGTGAAGGCCATTCTACAGTTGACTAATCTACAGTTTAGGTCCTGGTACCCAACTTACTTTTGGAGATGTACAGCTCATTGTCTGGCTGTGGAGAGCTGGACTCTGGTCTTGGAACAGGAACTGGAGGTCTGCTAGCCATTTCCTGTGGAAAAGTATCTTGTTCCACTGAGTAGTACACATCTTCACCATACTGCTCGTAAACGCCTTCCTCTGAATCTGGCACATCCATGCTACTGCCTGCAACAGAGTAGAGTTTGTAAGAAAAGAAATCTGGCCACTTAACCGAACACTGCATCCTTCCAGATGCACTATATACCACATTCTTACCAAGATGGCCATTTCACAGGCAAAACCATCCAGTTTTCCATTGACTTAAAAGTGTCAAAGCCCTTCAAGACGGGACTTTATCAAGTCACTAACATCTAGTAGCATGAAAGTGTTTGCCACTAAGCATGTTCCATCTGTTTTGGAAAAGAAACCGCAGCGGAAAATCTCATAACTATTTTTAAGAATTTGAGGAACAGTTCGTGTAATTCCAGTTAATTAACGTATTACAACAATTATCAAATCAAACAGATCACTGGTGGCCTACAAAGTAGTATACAGAATTATTCCTTTGTCTGAAACGAGCAATCTCCATCAGCTGACAACATATTTGATCTCAGAACAGTGTGTCTCAGAGGGAGCTGGGTATGCATGTCTGTACTTAACAAGCCCAGCTACCACTATACCACCTCACTGTCTCCATCCTATTTTTACTTCTAACATGACTGCAAATGTTGTCATACCTGATTTAAAAGCTAGTTTCCCTCTGTTTGCATGCTAGCAAAACAAATTAAGAGCCCCCAGACTAACTCCTTACTCTGTTACCAAGTCACAACTGAATACTGTAACCACTGGAACGACTTTCCTTTAGTGATATTGTACCACTTAGTTGAGTCAATGCAATGGGACTGCCAGAGCACTGGTGTTGGCTGGGAAAACAGATAAGAGCCCCAGACTTCGTCTAGGTCTGAGCACAGCTGGGTCACCCATAAAACATGAGTCTGTAACCCATTGAACCTGATGAGTCAGGAAAACTCTTGGACAACCTAATCATGCTTAATGGAGACAGCTAAGGTCTAGCTGTGGTCAAGGAAGTCTCAGGGAGCACTGAAGAGTCACAGCATAGATCAGGTTTGGGAGCCAGCAGTTCTTTTCCTCTTTCCAGGCTACTGTTTTCGATGTAGCCAGTTTTGAATAAAGCATCTACATTGAAATTTATCACTAGCTGGTGCTGCTTTACTTTATGCTCAGTGTCTGCCCATGAGGGAAGCTTGCACCCACATCCGGACACCAGAATTAATTCCCATCACTAAGGTAAGGACAGAAGACAGCCATTCCTGAGTAAATCATAGAATCATAGAATAGTTAGAGT